GCGAAAGGTCGGAAGACTTGAAGGTGTTTGAACACTTGTTTGGCGCAAGTCTGCAGTCCCTATGCATTAGCTGCTTTACTGAACCTAATCTGTACGAAATTGGCTGATCAATGAATCCCGTTTTTTGGCCCGGCGGCCGTGGAAGCAGTAAATTCAGTGAGGGTTGATCAATGGTGAATTCCTGTGAACGGTGGAAAAGCTCAGTTACACGATTTCCCGACTGAAACGGCGCCTCCTTGCGGAGGATCACACTCAGCACCCGAGTGGGACGGCTGAGCGAGACACACTCTGACATTGGTTTTCAGTTACACTCAGTTCCCACGCTGGGAAGGAAGGTGAGGGAACGGAAAGGCTGCACAAGTCCGAGTAACTGAATGTTGAACAAATGTTTCTCAAAAACGCGCAAGCGAAGCGGCGGCAGCAGCTGCAATGCGGACAGAAACCTGTTTGAGGGGTGGTAGAAAACCTAAACACCTCCTGGAACAACATCAGGTACATGAATCACCATGAAACAAACCAAGGGGCCACAGCAACCAATCAACAGTTTAACAATAGCAGGTACGTTTTCACCTCCCTGGCGCGCGGTCTTCGTTGGCCAGGACGCGCGCCAGGGAGTCCTGGCCCCCTGCATGCAAACTGCACAATGAAAATTCAGTGCCCCTGGATACGGGGGTTGACACACACACACAAGGGTACACATATGAGAGCACAGATATGCTGAGAGCAGCACACATGTGAGGGCGACACATGAGAGCACACGGATCAGAGCACATAGAGGACGCACATGAAAGCACAATACAGATATTAGAGGAAGTTACCGTGTTTGCCATGAAGTTTGCACTTCAAGGTCCGCCAGATGCGCGGGCCGGAAATCTGCACATCGAGGATCACAAAGTATCGCAAAGTGCGGCGCCTGCCACGAAATCTCCACCTCAAAGTTCACAAAGCGCCGCGCTTACCACAAATTTGAGGTTCGCAAAGTACTGCGCCTGCGACGGCATTTGCACTTAAAGAAGTGTCATTGATTTGGGAGGAAATTTCTTTGATTTGGGAGTGAGTTTTGTAAGATCTGAGTTTTGTTTGGAAGTGGGTGATAGAAACCACTGGTTGTGTGGTTTGGGGGTGGGGTGGGGGGCCGGCTGCAAGCTGCTGTGGCGGCTGTGGCGCAGCTGCTGTGGCCTGGCTCCCAGTGCAGGGCAATGGGAGTGGAATGTGTTTCAAACACAGCAGTTTTGGAATAGACTATTCTGGGCATATTGGTCTGTCAGACCAAATCCAACGATGAGAACATGTGGGTCATCTTCATGATTCTTCATGGGATTTTTCCCCAATAGCCATGCTCCCAGTCATGTTGTGATGGTGTCCCGGTCCTGTTTTGATGGTGTCCCGGTCATGTTTTGATGGTGTCCGGTCATGTTGTGATGGTGTCCCGGTCATGTTTTGAAGGTGTCCCGGTCATGTTGTGATGGTGTCCCGGTCATGTTGTGATGGTGTCCCCGGCATGTTTTGCTGGTGTCCCGGTCGTGTTGTGACGGTGTCCCGGTCATGTTTTGATGGTGTCCCGGTCGTGTGATGGTGGCGCGGTCATGTGTGTCCCAGTCATCATGCGATGGTGTCCCGGTCGTGTTTTGATGGTGTCCGCAAATTAAAAAACGGACATTGCTTAGGGACAGCTACTTGGGTAGCCGCCTTGCTCTCTCTGGCTTCTCTCCCTCTGGATGGCTTGGTTTAGGTCAATCAGGAGGAGCGATCCAATCACTCTCCTGCGGTGGGATGTAGTGGAGCCACCTCGGGATTTCTAGCTTAACACAATCCTCAAAGGCATTGAAGGCAGCACATGGATATCGCCATGCTTCCAACCTGTTTCTAGAATAAACAAGGTGGCAGAGCTCGACACCGTTTCCAAAGGCCCTGTACCCTATGTATCGAATGCTCCCCAGGAGCATGAGGTCCACCAGGGCCTTGCAGCCTACGAATACGTCGTACCTCTGCTCGAATCTCACGCAAGCAGCATGGCAGTTTGAATGTGTCCAAACTATGACATTGTGAGAAAGTGTGCATGTGGAGGGTGTGTATTGCAGTGCCAGAGATATCCACCACGGTCATGTTTTGATGGTGTCCCGGTCATGTTGTGATGGTGTCCCGGTCATGTTTTGATGGTGTTCTGGTCGTGTTGTGACGGTGTCCCGGTCATGTTTTGATGGTGTCCCGATCATGTGATGGTGGCGCGGTCATGTTGTGATGGTGTCCCG